TTACATTTTGAGAATTAACAAGTCAAATTGCACAACTATAACTAGCATCTTTTCTTTTTCTTTTTCTGCTTACTTTGCACTTAGATAGAACAGCAAACGAATATAAAAACTACACTATAACGCGTATAGACGGTGCTTGCCTTCTAATTTCTAAATGACCAACATAATGACTAAATTACAGAGAATTCACTTTTTCTTTATATTTTACGAATAAGTCCTTTAAATGAAATAGAAACGTTCTATTATTTTAAAGCTTATGTTAAAGAACTGAAATAACTTCCAACCAGTCATGAATCCTTACATTCCTTCCATTACTCTAATTGACATCTGCATACCAGCATGTAGCTGAGATTCAATGTTATTTTTTCTTTATTTTTTTCCAAGTCTTTTTGCTGAAAATGCTCCACCTTCTAAATTTAGACAGCTTGTACCATGTCAAAACACAACTACTGTTTACTTTTTGCATTTTCTTCATGAAAAGCATAGATAACTGAGCAGTTTAAAATGGTTTTATGCTCTAATTTTTATGTTGAATGTAGATGTTGCGTTAGTTTCTACAATAAAATAAATTTTTATAGTGTAAATTAAATTTTTATACTAAAAAATAAAAACTTACGAAAAAAAATATATATCAAACAAACTCCAAGTTACTTTATATGCACTTGTAGATATTTATCTGAGGCATCGTTTAAGATTTTTCTGACAATTTTTCATAAAGAATTCGTAAAGTTATTCACATTCAAAGATCAATCCCAAAAACATCCCGAAAACATCCAAAAAACACGCTGTTTTCGGATCCGGTAAACTCCCAAAAGCACTCAACAAGGTCCAGTGTCACGTGATATTTATCAATGCCACAATAAAATTTTAGTACTTCCCAAAATCAAGGTGCTTCCTTGGCTCAGCCGGTAGAGCGTCAGTCTCATAATCTGAAGGTCGTGAGTTCGATCCTCACAGGGAGCAGTAACATCAAGTGTTCGGCTGAAATGGAAATTTTTCACCTGCACAGTGATACCCTTTTTGTCATATACTTTTATTCTTTATATGCACATTGTACTGTAGTGTAACTACTATTTTTGGGAATTTGTTTCAGAGGACGACATTGTTGAAGGACCAAGTTGTCAAAGGACGAGGTCATCCCAAATAGGAAACCAACAAAAAAATAATATAGTGTAACTAC